TAACTATCATGTGGAGCAAGCGGCTTTTGGAAACAGCAGACCGTGCAGCCGAGCCATGTTTCGCTTCGCACCTGCCCCAGCGTCGCTGCGAAGGCTCGGGAGCTCTTCGGCACATGGATCTTCAAAAGATCTACCCCGCAAAGCAAAGTTTGCGCTGAAGGACACATTTATACGAAGATGAAAACCCCATGTTACGCAATGTTGGGTTGGACAAGAAACAGCGCAAACACGCTCACACCAACTGCCGCCTGTGTTGTTCTAAGAACAAGGCGAGGCACACCAAGTATCTTTCTAGGACTCGCTTGCACATCGTTGCCCCGTGACACTTCACGGCGATGGACTTAAGCTTGTCCAAGAAACTTTCCTCCGAAAAACAGTGAAACACCCAAGCGTTCAAACGCCATGCCTTGACCTGCACAGCTGTGTGCCACAAGTAGTGGCACTTCGGTCGCATTCGGAACTGCCAAAGGTTCTGGCCTTCGTAATGCGAAGCCAGAAACTGGTAAGACCTTAAATGCCTGAAGAGGCACTGGCTAGCTTCGGCAGAAGCTTGTTGGGAGAGAATCATGCCGTGGCAGTCAAAGATCTCAACCGCCCTGTTCAGGCACCACGCGCAGGCGGCCAACACCTGCAGCACTTCATCCTGAGGCTTGGTCAACTGGCGCCTGTTTCAAGGTTTCACACCCAATTTTACGAGCTCAAGCTAGGTGTCCCCTTCATAATGGCAAAACAAAAGGGTAAGCCTCAAAGGTCTACCGTAAAATGGCAGTTTGTGAGCCTCTTTAAAGTCAATATGAAACCACTCTTTTAAACAATACGACTTGATAGCCAAGATGCATCGCTTGTGTTTGCAACTTGAGTTGATTTCAGAGCAAGCCACCAGACCAAAGTCTTCACAGGCGACGCTTTGAACCTTGACCCGAGCTCTGCATAGTCTTTGCCGAAGTTGCAATTTTTCACAGACAGCCGAGGGCCAGGGAAACTCAGCCTGAGCAATATCTTATGGAACAGGTTTCTACTCACAAATCTGTTTGGCGAAAAAAAGAATGCATGCTTCAAAACCTGTGCTTTGACAAGGCGCCCGTGCTCTTTGCACGTTGCTTGCAGCTCAGCCGTCACACACGACAGCACTTGGTCCACATCTTCCCCGTAAGCTTCGAAAACGCCCTTCTGAATCAAAACCCTCACGCCAGAGGCGACAAAGTCTTTTGCCGTTCCGAGGAAACAGTTGTGCATAAAGTCCAGGCCGTTTGTTTCTAATGTCCAACCTGGCATTGAGCACCAGTCTGACACTGTGTGAGTCGCCATGTAAGTCTGGTGATCTAAACCAGTCATGGCGTAGGGTGGTCTGGCGCTCATGTTCTTAAAGTTCATCGACGGCGTTGCGTTCTTTGCCGGCTTCTGGGCAAAACATAAGTCGCACAACCTCAGTTGCCAGTGGCCCCATAGCGCTGCAAAACCTGCACTCCTAAACACCCCAAAATTTCGACCCGTTTTCCCATCGGTGTTGTTTCTCCCTTCCGGGGCTCATCGTGTGTGACGGGGGGCCTTGCAAGAAAAATCACCCTTACTAAAAATTGCGCCACCTTTTTTTTGAGGGTTTCTGAGGTTTTGCAACATTGCACCCAGCGCGTCGCTGCCTTCCCAGCAAGCCAAGCAGCAACGTGCAGCTGTACCACCTTGAAAAACTGTGGACTTCGTGTCTTGCTTTGAGATCACCCTTTGTTGAGAAGAAGCACGCCCTCAGCTCTTGACCAAACCATGAGCGAAATGGCACCCTCAAAAACTCAGTTTTTGGCAGGAGTTGGAACCTTGAAGACTTTGCAGACATTGCTGCCACAGCGCTTGAAGCTATTCGCCATCGGCTTCCCAGCCATGCCCGCCCGCCAAGTGTCAGCTGCGAACTCCTCCCCATAAAATCCTCGCACAGGCGCGATGCCGCTGAGAGCATGCTCCATGCTCCAGGCACAGAGGTCGGCCACGAGCTTGTTCGCAGCTTGCTTGACCTTATGTGGGGCATTTGTGGAGAGGAAGGAAATGAAGGAACTTTCAAAACTAGACAGCAAGAACCTTTCAATACTAAACAGCAAGGCTAGGCTAGCAGGCGGGGCGGTGGTGAGGAAGAGGTGGGGGAACCGGGGGAACCCTTCAAAACCCAGCCACGAGACTGGCTCTTCTTGCATGTCTCGTTCGGGGAGGAGCAGAATGGGAAACTTGTAGAGCAAGCAAGCAGTCACAAGCCCTGTAGCCCCGAAGGCTGAGCTCATTGAGTAGACAAAGTACTCATCGTCGCGGAACATTTGCGCCCCGTCGTAGTGAAACACAACCGGGGCCAGTTTTGAAAAGTCCACGCCTGCCCCTTCCTGGAGGGCTGGGTGCCCCTTCCACGGAGGCAAAGTTTTGACGTGTTCCCAGAACAGCGCCACTTCCTGGGGCCCCATGTTTCCAAACATCACCGACTGAAATACAAGATCAGAGTTAGCAGTTGCCAACGCGTGGTAGATCTCGTGCGGAAGTAGGACGCTTGCTGCCACTCACTGGCACCGTACCCCGTGAACCTTCAGCGCCAAGACTTGTCACAAGGGATTTTGTCACACTTGCGCGATTATTTCAATCACCCTTTTATCACGAGGGCGCCTGCCAACATGAGTCTTGCCAAAAAAGCGCTGTTTAATTTCAGGCACCCTTTTCGAAGCGAAAGGCTCACACGTCTTTTACGACACTTCTTTGAAATGCCCTTGCAGAAAAGAAACGGCGACCTTGTTTAAACAATGTGTTCACATGTCGCTAATTCTCTTTGGGTTTTAGTCGTTCTGACAAAAGCAACCCAACTACACAACAAACAACAAGCGGGCGCAAACTCTTGCAAAACAACTTTGCAAGTTTCACGAGGTTGCCTTCATGTCGAGGTACACTGTGTATGGCTGAAGGCACAAACCAAACAAGTTGCGGAGCCAACGGTGAAGGTCTCTTTCACAATTGGCTTGGCTGTTGCCGAAGGAACCCAAACTTGCTAGTTTTGCGAGGGCTTCGTGTTCGGCCCCATCTTGCAGCACAGACCTTGCAATCTCTGTTGCAGCCGTGATGTCAAGCCGGCCGCGCCCTACAAGTTGAAGCAGCTTTTCCACTGCGTGGCTCCACCTCATTTGTTCAATTCGCCGCCCACGCTTGGGTTTCCTGCCGCAGCAGTGTGTGTAAATCAGAAAGCAGTTGAACAATAATAGGTTACGGGGGGCGTCATCACAATAAAACCCCTGTAGTCAAAATGAAAGCGCAATATGATTGAACCCGCTTCTGACAGGTGCGTCACCGTCCTCGTGAAGAGGCTGCTCCGACCTGGCAACGTGCGAGGCCGGCTCCGAAAGCGCAGGGGTGGGCACAACCCTTCAGAAAGCAGTTTGGAATCAACAAGTTTGTGTACCACAGACGCAGAGGCCTTTTAGCCGCCAGCTGCAAGGCCTTTGGCCCCCCAAGTCAATTTCCGGAAAACCTGGATGTCAAAAGCAGTGCTCGCACTGCGCTTGTGCAGCGAAGAAATTGCACTCATTCGCCGCCTTCCTTCTTCTTCCCACTCTTGCCCTTCGGCTTGCCCTGTTTGTCCTTGTTCTTCTTGCCTGCCTTCTTGAGCCCTGCCAGGATGGAGTCAGCTGCTGCCTTGACAGGGAGAGGAGTTGCAAAAAACATGGCGGTGTACTTAATTCTTGTTTTGCAAAGCCAATCGTCTCTCATGGTTTCTCAGCAACTGAAGAAGCGAGCCATAACTCTCAGCCCTTGCCTCAGCTGTCGCATACCACTGCGTCTTGCGATCAACAACTTTGAAGACCTTCTCGTAGAACTGCTCGTCCTTCACGCCAGCCGCAGTTGCGGTCTGGAGCTGCTTGTAGACCTTCTCCAGCGATTCAGCGTGCTCCAGCAACTGTGTGGACAACTCTCCAGCATACTCCACGCTGCCCAATGTCATGCTCTTCCTGCGGGCTGATGTGGACTCTGCCAAGAGCTCCGCCATTTTGTCCTCTGCCAGCCTCAGTATGCTCCCCTTTCCAAGCCAGCCCCTTTATAGCGACTAACACGCTGCCAATCGCTGCCAAGCCACTGAGGTACGGTCTTTGGCTTGACAAGTTCCGCCTCATCGTCAACCTGCTTTGGCTTCGGTTTCTTCTTCGGCGCGCCCACTTTCTCGTCGCACAAAGCGTCCAGCAGCTGCTTCTGACCGCCAGCAGCAACAACCTCAGGAAGCTGGCCGCCCCTCATCAGGCCTTCGCCCTCGTCTGTCAAGGTCTGCAACATCTCCTCGTTCAAGTCAGCCCTTCCCTCCAGCGTGGCCTTCTCAGATACCCGGTTCTCTTGGTTCACCTCCCGCCCTTCCTCATGTAGAACCAAGTCTCCTCAGGCACGCTTGTGGCAGAGAAGAACAAAAACGGTGGAGCCAAATGCGAAAATAGCACAAAGACTGCCAGGACAGTATGCAAGTTGCCTCGTCGTCACCCGGAAAATCCGCGTCCTCGTAGTACAGCCCAGCCTGCTTCCTGCGCGCTACCAGCGCCGTCCACTTTTCCTGAGTGAGCTGCTGGCGCAGAGTTTTGCCCTGAACGGCATGCCAACCTGAAAGCGAGCTGCTCGACTTCTCCCTCGACCGCTCCATGCGCAGCTCCACCTGCGCCCAAGAACGCCCAGAATCCAGCCAAGCATTGAAGAGCTCCGTCTTCTGCGTGTTCGCGTAAGAGCTGAGGCTGCCAGGGAACTTCTTGCTCAAGAGAGCGCGGCTGAAAGCGTCATACTCCCGCTTGCTGTTGACACCTGCTCAAGCGAAACAAGGCCCCCCAAACGCCCGTGACGCCTACATCAAGAAATCAAGAACTAAGCAACAAGGTCTAAAATTGAGCAAGGCTCTGTTCCTCACCAAACTTGTCGATTTCTCAGTGTCTGGTCGCGCTGGCTGAGCTGCCTTCCTTCTCCTTGACTTCCGCCACCTTGGCCGCCGGCTTGTCCACCTCACTCGCCTCTTCGTCGCTCTCCACGGACTCGTCAGGGTCTCCCTCATCCTCTTCTTCTGCCTCTTCCATGTAGGGCTCGCCGTCAAGGTCAAAGGTCTCATCATCGCTGTCACCATCGCTCGCCCTCCCCTTGCTCCTCTGACTCCCCCTCCTTCTGCTGAGCAGTGACGTCAGGGTTGTCGTTGCTCTTGCTGCCCTGAACTTTCTGCACCTGCTGAGCCAACTCTGCACCGATGGAGTCCTCGTCGGAGCTTTCGCTTGACCCCGCAGCTGCTGTCGCGGTGCTGCACGCTTGCGCCTTCCTCTTAAGCTGGAGTCGCTTGATCGCAGTCTCATCAGGCTGCCCGGTCTTAGGCAAAGTCTTTTCCTGCGCGCTGCTGCCTGCCGTGATCTTGACCTTGCCCTCGCCCCCCTCCTTGTTTTTCTTGCTCTCCACCTCTTTGTTCTCTGCCTCCTTGCGCGTCTTGCCCGTGCGCTTATCCTTGGACCCTGCAGTTGCCTCAACCTTGTCCGTCTGGCCCTTGAGCTCCTTTCTCTTCTCCTTGGCCTTTTCCTGTGTCTTGCTGTTGCTCTTCTCGTTGTCCGTGTCTTTGTCGCTGTCCTTCGTCTTCTGCTTGCTTTTGCCTAAGTTGTCCTTCTGCTCCGTTGTCTGTTTCTTCTCCTTCTTGTCCTTCTTCTCCTTCTTGTCCTTCTTCTCCTTCTTCTCTGTTGTCTCCTTCTTCTCCGTTGGGGGTTGGCGCTTCTGCTCCACTTTCTCCTTCTTCTTCTCCGTTTTCTCCTTAGCCTCAGTGTTCTGCTTCGTCTCCGTTTTCTCCTTCTGCACAGTTTTCTCCGTCTCCTTGTTGCCCTTCTGTCGCAACAAAAACAAGGACTCTAGAAACCCATGTTGCACCATTTGCGGATGTCAAGTTCCATTCTGTTTCTTTCAAATAACATGGGTACACATGGGCTCTAAATAAAACAGCACCCCCTCCTGTCCTTGATCTTCTGTTTGTCCCTGGCTGAGCTAGAGCTCTTGGCGGTAGTTGAAGAAGGGCTCACAACAGCGCCAGCGTCAGGCGTCTTCCGGCGCAGCCGTTTCGCTGGCTGCTCGGACATGGGGGCGAAGCAGGCAAGAGTCAAGGGCTGGGCAAGCCAATTTCTTGTCAACAAAAAGGAGTCTCTTGAGAAGCTATTTCAACTGATCAGTGATGCAGAGTAACTGGTGCCATTACCCCTTGAGACTGGTAGGAAGCGCCGGCCGTGCAAATCGCACGAGAGTTCTTTCCTGGCCACAGACGTTCATGCAGTCAGAAGGTCACCCTAGAAGAAGCAAGTATGCGAGGCCTGCTTGTGACATTCTACAAAGCGCACGTTTTCTCGGCGTTTCGCATCAGACTTCTCGGTTTTTCGCATCAGAGTTAGGCGCCCAAACTGCTGAGAAAAAGATAGAAAATGAAGTTCTAAACAAAGGCGAGCAACCCCCCGCTTGCTAGCCCTCCTGACCACAGCCCTGGTAGGCTTTACCCCAACTCTACCCTGTGAATCCGTCAAGACAATTAGCGGGGGCAAGACAATTTTTACCGTGAAAGTTAATTTTTACCGTGGGCAGTTTTTTTTACCGTTGCCGTTGCCGTTGCCGTGAAAAGTTATTTTTTTAGCGGGGGAATTGCCGTGACTGTTGCCGTGAAAAGTTGCCGTTGCCGTTGCCGTTGCCGTTGCCGTGAAATATTGCCGTTGCCGTTGCCGCGTTTTGTGGGTTTCAGCTGGCGAAGTGAGCAACGCAAACGCAAAAGCAAATGCTGCGCCGGCACCAAATGCATGCACGAGCTTGTCCGCGAGATGCCGCCTAAAGCGCTTCTTTTCAGCTCATGCAGCCCGCGCTTAGTCTGGTCATCTGCATCTCAAGAGCGAAAGAATACCGCAGCATGGCCTTGTTGACTGCGCCAACAGGCGTGTTGCCGCGGCAGCCTGGGCTGCAACTAGGGCGGCTGACCGCAGAGCAATAAACGCAAACAAGCAAATGCAAGTCGGAGCGACAAGCGGCACGCAGCTAGCACGACCTTTGCCTTTTGCATGAGGTCCTCCCCGCTGTAGCACCAGGACAGCCTCGGACTGCAGTGCTTGCTCAGAAGCGCCCCGTGGATGGCGTAGTGCATCTTGATTGTGACGTTGAACACGCGTTCGCCTTGCTCCCAGTGGCGCTTATGAAGGGCTGTCTGCATGGCAGCGTAGTGGTAGTGCAGCTCGACATACCGCTCGTGCGTTTGGTCGTCAAAGAAGAGCTCACCACGAGCTTCGTCGAGAATTACGTCGATGTCCTGGCGGGCTGGCAAGGACGGTGGGCTTGCGCAAACGCAAACGCAACTGCGCAACCATGAGCGGGGCTGCTTTGGTGGGTGTCCTTGCTGCACTGCAAGCCAAGTTCGATCTGCTCAGCGTAAGTGCTGCGGAGGCCGTGCGCTTCTCGCAGGCGGCGCCATGCAACCAGCAAGGCCGGCGTCATTGAGCGAACCTCTGCGGCTTTGCCTTTAAGTTTGGGGTAATCGCCCCGCTTGCCCAGAAACATGGTTTCCCGCAGCTGGCCGAAGTGGTTGCCATCCCTGGCTTCTCTCCAGTGGGCTTTGCACTGCTGCCGTGATGCCGGGCGCGCGCCACAGTGGGTTTTGGCTGGCGCTGCCAAAGCGGCGCTGCCAGACCGGCGTGGTGTGAACGGAGGACTGCCAGCGGGCACCTGGCCGGCAGTCCAGGAAGTTCAAGCCCGCGCTGCGGTCGGCGAGGCAGAGGCAGCAAGGCTGCGAGGTGGAAGCGTGCTGCAATTCCAAGGATTTGGATAAGTAGTCAAGGTCGCCGCGCAGCAGGAATACCACGCCGCGGTAGCCGTCTGCCAGCGGGCTGCCTGCGAGGCGCGCTGCGGTGGTGCCAGCTTCGTGAGGACGCCCTCTGTCATCAACATCAGGCCAGACCTCAGTCAGCTGCAACACAGAATGCAGCGCAGTGCCAGCGAGTCGCGCAGCTGCAAACGCAAACAGCAAAGGCAAAGGCAAAAAAAAGCTACGGCTGGCGCCGGCTCAGCGCGACAGACATGGGCGACAACTTAGCGGCCGGCGCCGTTGAAGAGAGCTGTGAGGGACCACGTCAGTTTGCGCCAGAAGGCGCGTGTTGTGTGCCCGCCGCTGGCCTGCGATCGGGCGAAGAGCATGGCCACAATGAAGTTGGTTTCCTTGGTGGATCCCTGGGTTACAAGGCTGCAGAAGGAGTAGATGTCAGCAGACTGCTGGTAGCTCTTTCCTGCGCCAACAATCGGAACGCCATCCCCATGCAAGCTGAACGGGATGGTTTTGTCCAGCGCGCAGTGTTGGTCGCGTAGCAGAGGGTGGCTAGCCATTTGCGGCGCGCCGGCAACTCGTCGCCAGAAATCGCCGAGGTCAGCTACGCCGCGGATGCGGGCGATCCACTCCTTGGGGAAATGCTTGTAGACTGCGCTGAAGAGTTCATGTGGCCACCTCACAGAAGCGCGCATGTTTGCAAGACAGCTCGCAGCTGCGTAAACGGCTTTGAACAACTACCTTTGCTGGGGCACAGCATATGCAGGGTCGCATACTGAAAGGCCCCTTGCAGGGTTGTAGACGCTGCGCGACACGGCATGCGGTACAAACCAGGCGCCAGCACTGGCTGCGGCAACAGCCGCTTGAGATCTCTGTGCGTGTTGGCGGGGTACTTGCCGGAGAACCCTAGGGCAGCCTGAGGCGAGCGCAGGCTGGCCACCTTTCAACTCAAGGCCCGGAAGAAAGAACTGATACTGCAAAACTAAAATAGCCCGGCTGCGAGACGTTGGACGTCGCTGGGGCAGTTGGCTCCAGCGCGCTCAAAGTCTTCTTCTGCAGCCGCAGCTATGGCTTGCAGCTGCGGAGCGGACATGAAGCCCCAGGACCAGCTTTCAAGCAGCAGCCGCGCAAGGCTGCTTTCGCAGGCGTGGCCATCGGCTGCTTGGGCGGCTCTCAGCCGCTTTCTACACCCTTGCCTTGTGGCCATGGCTGCAGCGAGCAGTTTGGCAGTACTCAGCACCAAGGCGCCCAACACGCACACAGCTGCCCATGTTCGCCGCATCTTCAAAAGATGCAAAAGCAATCCAAAAGAAGCAAGCGCAAAATCACAAGCAATGACTGCGCGCCCTTCCCTTTTGACAAGATGATCGGGCGTCACGCCGCAGTTCGCGCGGTAAGCGGGGACATCAGTCGACAGGCTTGAGCGCTTTGCACATCTGGCAAGCTTGCTGCAAGTGGAGCACCTTGGCGGCGCAGGACCTCAGCAAGGTCTTGCAGGACTCGGGACCAGCGGCTTCGCCGCCAATGCGGCCAAACGTGTTCAGCTCTTGCAAAGACTGCAGGCACTGGAGCACTGCCTGCATTGCTGCCTCCAGCTGTTCCCGGCACGTGGCAACCATGGGCGACTGCGGCATGCCGCTCAATGCCTGCAGCGCCTTCTGGGACTCGCCGAAGATCTTTTGGGTGACTTGCAAGCCCTCCTCCACGCGAGGGCGAGTGCTGGCCATGAGGTCCGCAGGCGCGTCAGCCGAGCCGCCGCCTTCAGCTTCGGGCGGCCCCATCGGCAAGGACTCGGCCAAGAGCGCGAAGAGTCCGCTGGCGTCCTGCAAACTTAGCAGCCGACAAGGTGCAGGCAGGGATGCCGGGACAAAAGCAAACGCAATGAAGGCAAACGCAAAAGCGACCAGCAAGGCTTCCTTCAAAGCTAGCGGCCGACACGGCACAAGCAAGGATGCCCGAACAAAAGCAAACGCAAGACAAAAGCAATAAGCGAACTGTGCAGACGCAGGCAACATAGCATCAAGTCCTGCGAGCCGGACGCGACTTCAGCCGTGGCGTCCATGGAGTCGGACTGGCCGGTGGTGTGGGCGACGGAGGCCTCGCGCCACGTGTAGTAGTCCACGCCGTCTACCTTGACGCAGCGAGCTTCGCCGCGCTGCACGGCAGCTTTCAGCTTGTCCGAGCCACCGGCTTGCTGTTCCGCGATGAACCGCGGCACAGACTTCGCCTCGTTGGTGGTTTTGGCTTCCTTGTAGAGGCGGCGCTTCTGGGCGACGACAGGGTCGTTGGCGGCCAGCTGAAACTGACCACGGGCGTCTTTGAAGCCTGTTGACCAGCTCTGTGAGGTCGGTCCTCTTGGCAGAGTCCAGCAAGGCCTTGAGGTCGGCTGGCAACGAGTCCCGGTTGCGCTTTAGCCACTGGCTTTTGTTTTTGTCGCGGCCAGCAGGCTCGTCGACCACTGCCAAGGCGTCGGGCTGCTCTGTCTCTTGGTCCTCTTCCACGGCTTGCGCCCACACGCTGACCTTGCCCTTCGCCTTCGCCTTGGCCTTCTTCTTGACGCCAGACTCGGTCTTCGGCTCGGGCTTCGGCTTAGGCTTCGGCTTGGCAGAAGCTTTGCTTTTGGCGGCCGTCTTGGGCGCGGCCGCCGCGGGCCGCTTCTTCACCGGGCTTGCAGCTGCTGGGCGCTTCAGCGCCGTTGGCGAGAGCGCAGAGCTCTGCGGACCTGGTGACTGACCTGGTGACTGACCCGGCGACTTGCGCGGGGCTGAAGGGCTGCTGGGCGGTTGCTTGCGCGGCGTGGTGACCGGCTCCATGGCGGGGCGCGAAAACTTGCTAAGTGGCAAAAGTAAAAAGCCCAAAGGCTCCAGAGCAACTATAGCCGCAGGCATGCGGTCATGGGGAAATGCATGACCAGCAAACGCAAGGGGCATGACCAGCAAACGCAAGGGATGAAACGCAAATGCATACGCAAAAGCAAACGGAGCGCCTTGCCCTCGCTCACGCTTCGAGCTCTACTTTGCCTACTTAACTGCAAGCTGTCACTGCGTTCCAGCGCTGGTTTCGCCATCCCCAAAATAGTCCCATCCTATGAGCTGACGCGCGCAAATAATTCCGGCAAATACGACCTCGCGTCATGCGGGGGGGCGGTAAGTATTCCCTTTGAACATGGGTATTGGGGCGCAGCTTGGGCTTGTCAATGGGCATAATTGCCGGAATATGTTGGGACCACGGTTGTGTAGATGTGATAGGTGCTGAATATCCATATTTATGCTAGGTTGTGAAACAAACGACCAATGTGTGTGTATGCATATGCTTCCGATTTTGTGTGCGCGTACGTGTCCCCTATTACAGGCTGCTTTTACTGGCAGGCGTCAGCCCCAATTTCTTGGCGCCAGATCTTTGGGGCAGATTTTGTTTTACCAGGGTGTCAGCCTCGAACTCTTGTTGCCGCAGCTCTGGGTCCAATTGTTTTGGAAGGTGTCAGCCCCAAACTCTGGCTGCCAGATCTCTGGGGCCAGTTTGTTTTTGGAAGGTGTCAGCCCCAAACTCTTGCTGCAGGATCTCTGGGGCCAGGAAGGTGTCAGCCCCAAACTCTTGCTGCCGGATCTCTGGGGCCAGTTTGTTTTTTGGACGGTGTCCGCCACAAACTCCTGCTGCCGGATCTCTGGGGCCAGTTTGCTTTTTGGGTGTCACAGTGTCCGCCCCAAAACTCTTGCTGCAGGATCTCTGGGGCCAGTTTGTTTTTGAAAGGTGTCAGCCCCAAACTCTTGCTGCAGGATCTGTGGGGCCAGTTTGTTTTTTGGAAGGTGTCAGCCCCAAACTCTTGCTGGTCTCTGGGGCCAGCTTGTGCTCTGGAAGGTGTCAGCCCCAAACTCTTGCTGCAGGATCTCTGGGGCCAGCTTGCCTTTTTGGAAGGTGCAGCCCCAAGTGCTGCAGGATGATTGGTGTCAGCTGTGTTTTTTGGAAGGGGTCAGCCCCAAACGCAGCAAATTTGAGTCATCAGTAGCTTCCGTGGCAGCTGCTGGCCTCTTTGTTTTCCTGGCCCATCAGCATTTGCAACTGCTGGTTTCCGAATTGCCGCAGTAGTTTAGAAGTCAGTACTGCCAAAGTGCGGCTAAATTCCTCCAAACTTTGTTTGCCAAAGTGCAGTAGTTTCGCAGTAATTACTACCAAACTACTGTGAAATTATCTCCAGCGCAGTAGTTTCACAGTAGTTACTTCCAAACTACTGCCAAACTACTGCGGCATTAGCTCCAGCGCAGTAGTTTTCGCAGTAGTTACTTCCAAACTACTGCCAAACTACTGCGGACACATGTGTCCATTAGCAATACATTTGAAGCATTTCCGAAAAAAAGTGTTAATGCGTCAGCGCCAAACCTCTTGCTGCCAGACCTCGGGGCCCATTTTTAGGTTAAAACAACAACAGCCGCAACGATCTGGCAGCAAGAGTTTGGGGCTGACACCTTCCAAAAAAAAACAACCCCAGAGATGCGGCAGCAAGAGTTTGGGGCTGACACCTTCCAAAGCACAAGCTGTCCCCAGAGATCTGGCAACAGGAGCTTGGGGCTGCAAGAGTTTGGCGCTGACACCAAAACATGGACCGAAAGATCTGGCAGCAAGAGTTTGGGGCTGAACCCTTCCAAAAAAAACTGACCCGGGCTGACACCTTCCAACGCACAAGCTGGCCCCAGAGATCTGGCAGCAAGAGTTTGGGGCTGAGCCCTTCCAAAAAAAAGCTGACCCCAGAGATCCGGCAGCAAGAGTTTGGGGCTGACACCTTCCAAAGCACAAGCTGGCCCCAGAGATCTGGCAGCAAGAGTTTAGCACTGACACCTTCCAAAAAAAGCTGACCCCAGAGATCCGGCAGCAAGAGTTTGGGGCTGACACCTTCCAAAGCACAAGCTGGCCCCAGAGATCTGGCAGCAAGAGTTTGAGGCTGACACCTTCCAAAAACAAACTGGCCCCAGAGATTCTGCAGCAAGAGTTTGGGGCTGACACCTCCCCCAAAAAATGGACCCAAAGATCTGGCAGCAAGTGTTTGGGGCTGACGCCTCCAAAAAAACTGGCCCCAGAGATCTGGCAGCAAGAGTTTGGGGCTGACACCTCCCAAAAACATGGACCCAACGATCTGGCAGATTGGGGCTGACACCTTCCAACAAAAACAACAGGAGTTTGGCCGCAAAAGTTTGGGGCTGACCCCTGCCGAAAAAAAACAGATGCAAGAGTTTGGGGCTGACGCCTTCCAAAAGAAACGGGATGGCCCTACAATTTGTTTGCTCTCAAGTGTCAAGGCCTCTACGGACTCAAGGTCTTTAATTGCTAGGGGGTTAATGTTGAGCATATCATGCCTGACGCTTTAAAGGATAAACAGTGCTTGGCGCTGGATGTGTGCCGGGTTTTTGGGCTGACGGCCTACAGAGTGAGTTAAAACCAAAAGCAAACAAATGGCAACGGCCGATTGAAGCCCCAAAACTCTCGCAAGGCCACAGGCGCCAGCAAGCAAACGCAAGCACCAGGAGCTGCCGCTTTTTCGTGCGCAAAAACAAAAGTCTGTGGCCAGCGGCTGGCGGCTTCAGCGGCGTGGATCTCGCCTCGCACATGTGAGCGGGCACGCTGCGCGCAACTGCAAACGCAAAAGCAAAAAACGAGCAAACGCAAAAGCAAAGACTTGCAGCCGAGACACCGGCGGATCGGCAGGTAGACGGCCCTTCACGCCTCGGTCAAACAGACATATCCACGTGCTGCAAACGCAAAAGCAAATTGTGGCTTGGCCCCTTGCCAGCTACGTGCCGCTGAGCAAAAGCAAAACGCCGCTGGCGGGCTCGGAGGCTTGCTAGATCTCCGGGTCGCTGCCTGCGCGGGCGATCGCAGCGCGCGCGAAGGCGGCGCACGCGTGGCCTCCCCAGGTGTGGCGAGCGCGCCAGGCAGCCCACTCCTCCTCGGACCACTGGCGCGCAGGTCCTGCGCAAAAACGGAAAATACACACACACACACAAGCAAATGGGCTGCATCGCAAAAGCAAAGCGCAAGCGCGCAGAAGGCGGTCCTGACCCGGCCGCTGGCAGGCCAGGGCCGGGCTGCAGCGAGCGGAAGACAGCCCCAGCTGCCACGGCTGCCTCTGCGAACCCTTGCGGGTTGCGGGCCAGGACCTCCGCGGCGGCTCTGTCGGCCTCCCGGTCTGCCTCGCGCCAGCGGGCGGCCGGGTGCGTCACGCTCTTTGGGCGCGCCCCAGCAGAGGCGCCCCTCCGCGGAGCGGTCGGCTCTGCGGCAAAAGCCTTGGCCGGCGAGGCTGGCGCCGAGGCTGCGGCCGGGGCTGGCGCTGTGGCCGAGGCTGGCGCCGGGGCCGGGGCTGGTGCTGCAGCTGGTGCCGAAGCTGCTGGGGCTGCTGGGGCTGGGGCTGGGGCTGGGGCTGGCGCCGGCGCTGGCGCTGTTGGTGCCTCGGCTGGTGCCTTGGCTGGTGCCTCGGCTGGCGCCTTGGCTGGTGCCTCGGCTGGCGCCGCAGCTGGCGCCTTGGCTGCCTCGGCTGCCGGTGCTGCTGGGGCGGCTGGGGCTGAGGCGCTTTTGGCGCCTCGGCTGCCTTGGCTGGTGCCGCAACCGGGCGCCTTGGCTGGCGCCTCGGCTGCCTTGGCTGGCGCCGCAGCCAGCGCCTTGGCTGCCTTGGCTGGCGCCGGGGTGGCTGGCGCCAAGGCTGACGGGGCGGCGGTTCCTGCTGCGGCCCGAGCGAGCCGCTGGCGCTGCCGCGCTGCCTCCAGCTCACCTTCCGGGAAATGAAGCTGCGAACGCACGCAGCAAAAACAAAAGTTGGTACTGCTGCTGCAAACGCAAAAGCAAATGTTGGTAATGATGTTGCAAACGCAAAAGCAAAAGTTGGCACTGCTGCCTGCTGCAAACGCAAAAAGCAAAAGTTGGTAATGATGTTGCAAACGCAAAAGCAAAAGTTGGTCATGACGGTGCAAACGCAAAAGCAAATTGGACAAGCGCAGACCCACATGCGGCCTGCGCTGGCGCCGCCCGGGGTGGGCAACACGCCGAACTCCGCCAAGTCGGTGAAGACATCCAGCACCCGCTTCCGCGACTGGTGCAGCGCGGCCTCCAGCAAGCGGCAGCGCTGGCAGTCCCCGGCAGGCCACGTGGCTGGCAGTGCGCCGGGCTCGGCGGGGGCGGCCGGCGGAGCGCCAGGAGGGGGGGCTGCCACCGGCGCGCGGCCCGACATGACGCGCGCGTCATAGCCGGCCGCGCGCAGCCACTGGACGGCGGCGTCTCGCGCCTGCGCGGTGTCGAAGAACACCAGGCAGGCGCCCGGGCCGGTCGTCGCCCTGCGCACCGAGAAGTGGTGCGGAGCGGCTGCCTCCGGCCAGCGGCGCGCGCCCAGCCACCACCAGACCTCGGAGCTGGAGATCTCCGAAGGGAGACCGCCAACCCAGGCGCCATGGTCCCTGTAGGACGCGGCCATGGCGAGCGTCACGGCTAGCGCGCCTAAAGCCGGCGGAGCTTACGAGCCGTAAAGCGGCTGCGCTCATGCATGTACATGTGCAACACTGTGCAACGACCAAGCGTGGCAAACGCAAAAGCGAAGGCTGCAAATGCAAATGCAACTGCGTGGCCGCAACGCGACACAAAGAAAAAAGCAATCTGCAAAAGCAATCTGCAAAAGCAATCCGCAAAAGCAATCTGCAAAAGCAACACGCTGACAACCAAAGCGAGCGCATGCAATCTGCGTTGCTTTCTCACCAACGCAGGCCCAGAATACCATCACAGAAACACTACAGGCTGCGAGCAATCAGCCGGAAAGGCCTCCTGCTTCGTATGAATCTGCAGCAGGCAGATCGCCGTGCAAAACTGGCAAAGACTGCGGCTCCGCGACTGCAAGTGCAGACGGGCGTGGCACTGGAATTCGCTGCACGCTTCACACAAGTGATCCAGCTGCGAACTACCCGCAGGCGCTTCAAGGGGCGCGGCTCTTCCTCTGGCTCAGGGCCGGCCGGCGCCACAGGCGCGGGCAAACGCCTCGCGCGCTCTCCTGCGAGAAGGCATCCGTAGTTCAGGCCGCAGAAGATGCGAGCCGCGCAACTGGCGCAAACCTTCTCGTCTGTGGTGCGGCCCATGACTTCCACACCAAAGGCGAGCAAAGCTTCTGAATCTTCGCAGTGCGCGCAGCGGCCGTCGGGCTGGCTGCCTGTCAGCTCCGGGCTGTCGGAAAGCTCTGGGCTGTCGACAACATCCATGTCACCGCGGCTGGCGCCAGGCAGGGGCAACGTGGCTTGCGAGTCTGAGGACATGGCAGCTGCGGCGCTCAAGCAGCGAGTAAAGCAAAAAGCAAAAGGGACACGCAGCAATGTCGAACATGCGTGTTTTCCCGCGTTCGATCAAGCACTGCTGCGTGGGCCGCCTGAACTAATCAAAAGGAATGCCCTTCGCCCTGCACTCTTCCAGGGCTTGGGCGTGCGCTGCCCGTGCCGCCTCTTTGCCGCCAGTTTTGAGAGCCTTGGCGTAGGCCCGGCTGGCGATGCACTTGCCCGTCATCTTCAGCTGCTTCTTTCCAGGAGCACTTGAAGTGGCCGCCTGCTGTTTCGCGGCTGGCTTCTTTGCCGGCCTCGATGTCTGGGGCGGCGGCTGTGTCCTGGCCTGGGCGTCCTTGTCCGGGCTGGCGGGCTCGCGGTCGTCGGCGTCCTTGCCTTGCAGCTTCTGCTCATAGGTGACAGGCTCCACCGACAGCGCGGCCTGCGCAGAGCGAGCAGAGATGCGTGCCGAGGTCATGCGCAAAGAAAAGCAAAAAGAAAATGCTGAGCGCCTGCAAAGCCTTGCTGGCGCTCCGCGGCTTAGCTGATGGCCGCCCAAGCATGGCCATGAAGTCCGGCCAGCCGTCGTCGCCCAAGGCAGTTGCGGCATCTGCGCCCGCCGCTGGCGCGAGCACCTGCGCCGCCAGGGCGAGCGGCAAGGCCGACGAGGTCGGCCCTTTGTCATCCCAGCGGCGAACCATGGCGGCCAGGCCCTGCAAGGCAGACGCCTGCTGCACTGTGGCCTTCCGCAGCGTCCTTTCTTGCAAGGTGGGGTCGTAGGCGCACTCGCGGAGCTTGGCCAGGCAGGCGCGGACGCTGGCGCTCACCAGGTCTGCCCATGCCCGCATGGGCTGGCGGGTGAAGTTGCAGGGCTTGTCGTCGTGCAAGGAGACCAAGGCCAGCAGGGTCTTCTGGTTGCTGAGCACAGGCCCGCATCGCTGCAAGACGTTGGCGAAGAGCTCGTAGCCTGCGGCTGGGAAAGGTAGAGAGCAAAAGAAAGCACGACGCAAAAACAAAATGCAAGGCCGAGAGCGGCTGAGATGTGTCGCACAAGCGGCCTTCCACAAAGGCGGGAAGGGCTGTGGATGGCGCCGACTTCCAGCTGACTTGCAGCGCCCGTTCTAAGAGAGCAGTGAGGTCGCGGTCTTTCTTCGCCGCGAGGAAGGCTTGAAAGCACTGCATGATCTCATCCACGCTGACCTCCTGCACTGTCGTGCGCGCCCGCTTGTTGAGAAGCGCGGCCATGGCGGGCAGGGAAAATCAGGGTCGAAACAACTTGAGCAAACGCAAAACTCCCCGGAAGCGCGCAGTTTCAGAGCCGCCAAACGGACGCAAGCCAGCAAAAGCAAATGAGGCCAAGTCGTGCTTGAACTGAACAATTGCTGTTGCCGTTGCCGTTGCCGTTGCCGTTTGTGTTGCCGCGTTTTTTTGCCGTTGCCGTTGCCGTTGCCGTGAAAAGTTTATTTTGCAAGTCAATTAAGAAGTCACTAATTGCCGCGAAATGGGAATTGCCGTGAAAGTTAATTTTTACCGTGGGACTCTCTAACTGTCTTGACGGATTCGTTGGGTATGTGCGAGGCGATAGTCCGCGCATGGTATCCTGGAGGCACTCGCAAGAAAGCTGAGGACGCGATGCCTGTCGAAGTTGAACAGGTACAGCAAAGATGGCGGAAGAAGCCTAATACCTTGTACGTCAGCCTAGACCACAAGAATGCCAAGATCCCGACGAGGGCTACCTCGAGTCTTGACACGTATGCCTCTGAAGGAACATGTATCCCTGCAGGGGGGTCAGGTCTAGTCAGCGCCGGAATCTGCGGTTCTTAGCCGTAGGGGGTGGAGTTATCGACCCTGACTACGAAGGCGAGGTCAAGGTAATCCTCTTCAATCATGGGGATGAGGACTTCGTCGTGAAGCCTGGAGACCGCATTGCACAGCTTGTGCTCGAGCGAGTTATGATGATCGACGCATCAATCGTTCCAAGGAAGATCAAGCGGGGAACCGATAGGGGAACCGCAGGATTCGGGAGTACTGGTGTAGCCGCTGCGGCTCCTACTGTTGGATCCGATGGAAAGAACTTTGAGTGTGCGATGCCCAGGGGGGAGTTATCCCAATCGCATCGCCCGAAACATTCATTGGGTTATCCTCCATTGTACGCCTGTGTCGCAAGACCAGTGAACAAGAAGGAGCAAGCTGCCAATGCCAAGGCAAGGGCCGCTCTGCAGAAGGAATGGGACAAGCTGTCGTCACAGGGATGCTGGGACCTCTCCTCCGTTCAGGAATGGTTCGATGTCGCAGCAAAAGCCCGAAAGGAGGGTGAGAAGGTTCACGTCGGAAGAATCTTCGACATCTGTGTCGAGAAGAACCATGGACGATCCCAACCGCAAGTACAAAGGAAGAGTAGTCTTCGAAGGATGCTTCGTACGTGATGAAGTTGGCCAATGGGCGTTGTTCTCTGAAAGCACGTCATGCCCTGCTACGATGGCCGCAGGGAAGATGTGTGACGCTCATGGGCTGCTTCCAGGTAATTTCCTGGAGGTAAGCCACGGGGAGTCTGCTTATACTCAGGCCCGCCTAAGGGGGAAGAAGACCTGGGTGAGGATTCCGCGGGATCAGTGGCCTCCAGAGTGGTTTGACAAGCACGGCAATCCCAAGTACAAGGATCCCGTTGTGGTTCTTGTGCTTGCACTCTATGGACACCCTGACGCAGGCTACGTTTTGGGAACAGCATTGCGAGGGCATGCTCAAGAAGGTAGGATACGTGAAGGTGAAGGGATGGGCCAGCGTGTTAAGGCAGGATGAGCGGGCCGGCTAAGAATTTGACAAACGGCTGGGCCCTTATCTCGCAGGTCGTCAAAATGCAGGAGCCACGGCAGCTCAAGAGATATCTTGGCTGTGAGCACGAGTTCACGCAGGCGATAGTGGATGGACACTTCGACCCGAGGCTGGCGTGGACGAGTGGGAATCCTCCTGATAAGGAGCAACCCGACATTAGGTTCGGTCCAGAGGGGTTACTCTCGAAGGACATCCCCAAACCCAAAACGACCGTTAGGTTCATTAAATATAGTGAGAGCAGCTTCATGCAGGCATGTGTCGATAGATACATCGAGCTGTGTCAGGGCAAGTACCCGAAGAAGCTGCAGAAGGTGGGTACACCTTTCCTGGATGAGAGCAAGCCGGAGTTCGATGAGAACCCCGAGTTTGACAAACTTTTCAACCAGGCAAAGGATGTGGAGACCATCAACGCACAGCCAGGTTGCCTTGGCAACGACGCTGCCGTTCTTATGAAGATCCTATACGGGGCAAGGATGGGCAGGTACGATCTCATTCGTCCAGCGCAGGCGTTAGCCAGCCGGATTACGAAGTGGAATCACCTTTGCGACCGTAAGCTTCATAGGATCGTTTCGTATGTGAACTCAACTCTTGATCTTCATCTGTACGGATGGGTGGGCGATAGCCCAGAGTTCCTTGTTGCGTGCTGTGATGCTGATCTTGCCGGAGACCGTACGGACTCAAAGAGTACGTCGGGAGTGCTTGTTTGCTTGGTAGGTCCCAGGACGTACATGCCCGTCACAGGTGTGAGCAAGAAACAGACTTCGGTGTCGAAGTCAACTCCAGAGGCGGAGATCGTCACTCTGGACCATGGTATGGCTAAGGAGGGAATGCCACTGGCTGAACTCTGGAAGCATGCCATTGGCAAAGGTAAGGATCCTGAGCCCATGACTATCAATGTATTGGAGGACAACGAATCGGCTTGCCGAATCGTCATCACGGGCAATAACCCAAACATGCGGTATATGTCGCGGACCCAACGCATTGACATCTCGTGGCTCAACGAGCAGTTCAATGAGAACATCTTCCGGTTTGTCGCATGCCCGTCTCACTACCAAGGTGGGGACATCTTCACCAAGGCATGTGTCGACAAGGTGGTGTGGAACCGGAATCTTCACACACTAGGTATGTTCCTGCCGGGTTACCTGCAGGAATATTTGGCCCAACCCACCCAACCCTGTATCAAGCCCCCTGCCGCTCCTGGACTGCCCCCGCTTAGGGGGGCACGCATGGAATCAGGCGCAGAATCCGGTTTCAATCGGCTCATTGAGAAGTTATTCTCAGAGTACGATGGAATCGTGATCGACGAGGAAAAAGATGCGATAAAACCGTTGTTGCTGATCAG